CGCCTCTACTGCCGTTCCCATACTCTTCTTCCTCCAGCAATTCTTCTACCAGACAGAGTACCGATTTCTTCCAACAATTCTCCCTGTTGTTCTTCTTCCGCCGCCGCTCTCGTTCTTCGCTTCTTCTTCCTCCGCCGCCTTGCTACAACTCCTCTCCTTCTCATTTCTTCTTCCGCCGTCTGCAATTGAAGCCAACCACCTTCTCCTTCATCCTCGATGGCCTCTCCTCCATTGGAACTATTGTTCTCAATGGGCGGAGATTTCAATTTGAGGCCGCCGGTGCCGAATCCGTCTTCATCCGGATCCGGAGTTTGGTCGTTGCAGGTACTATAGCTCGTGTTAAGGCAAATCCGTCGTGTACTGGAGCTCGTGTACCGGAGCAACAAAAATCTAAGCCCAAATCTGTTGAAATATCAAGTTCGGCCAGATCTACGGCGATGAGATGGGGATTTTCCAGTGCTAAGGCGTTGAGATGAGAGTTTTCCGGTGCTGGGTGTTCGGATGGGGGTTTTCCTGTGCTGGGCATTGGGCGTGGGATAGGTAGCAGAAGTAGGCGTTTGTTATTGCGGGATAGCTGGTCGGCGTTTGTTATTGCGGGATGTCGCTGCAGATTTGTCCGTGCAGAGGTGTCACTATTAGGGGTGGGCATGGTTGGTTAACCGTACTTTGGTTAACCAATTTACGGTTAACCGAGATTTCGGTTAATGTATTTACAACATCATTAACCGTACCGTAATGATGGTTAACCGAATAACAATTAACCATGATATAGGTTAACCATGAATTGGTTAACCGAAAAACCGTCTTAGCCTCTTAGGAAAAGGTTAAGAGATACTAACGACCTGGGTGGCTGGGTTCCATCTTAGTGCATCAGCATGGCATACGTATGGAATTAATAACTAATAGATTCAATTATTAATCAGTTAGTACGTATAGAATTAATCTTTCGTGTATGGATTTTAGTTCATACTCCGTATTTGTTTTCAATTATTACTTCAATTAGAAATTCTTGTAGATAACCACTACCTGACCAGGTAGCCGGTTAGTTGCTAGGCTTTACACATTTCACGCACAGCCAATTTCCTCTCGGCCAATGGCCATTGGCTTGTATTAATTCCAGTAAATCAATTAAATAATCATCTATTGATACTTCAATTTATATATACTAAACGTAAATGGAGAAAACATTTTCGGCTAAAGCTTATTGTGACATAAATTTGAAATAATATTTTAACTACTTTGAATTACCGGTTAACCGGCGGTATTTAATTTAAAAACCGTAACCGTACCGTGAACCGTTTTACTCTTTCGGTTGGTTAACCGTACCACAAACTTTTAAAAACACGGTACGGTTAACCAAAAAAACTCCGGTTTTTCGGTTATTTACCACGGTTAAGCGGTTACGGTTTTTTATGCCCACCCCTAGTCACTATGGGCCTATGGCGGCAGCAGCGGTGATATGTGGTGGAGGCGGCCGACAGCAGCAATGCCGACAGTGAGATGAAAAGTGAGCCACAGGCGGTGACCGCAGTGACACAGGCGGTGGCCGCAGTGATACGGTCGGTAACTACAGTGACACGGGCGGTGGTTACAGTGACATGGGCGGTGGCGGCAGTGACACGGGCGGTGGCGGCAGTGACACGGGCAGTGGCGGCAGTGACACGGGTGGTGACGGCAGTGACACGGACGGTGACTACAGTGACACCGATTGTGACGATAGTGACATTAAAATTGAAAAGTGAAATTAAAATCAATGAATATAAATAAATTTGTCACTTTTTTGCCAATTGTCCTTTTATTAGTAATATTCAAGACAAAACCCGTATAATCCATTGTTCTTGATTCGTTAGCAACTACAAATAACTAAACACGTACGAAGCACTTTAATACTACGTATATACGTAGTATATACATATACCTGATGTATACCTGAAGAGATAATTTTCAATTTAAACTAGCGCACACACACGCACATGTCCACAGAAATCTTAATGTGTGACATGCTCATCGTGTCACATAATAGAAGTAATTTGTCTGTTTTCTTTTCAATCATTGACGTTCATATTTTAAGAAAGTCGTGCATCCTTTGATCTCTAAATCAAAGTGTGAATTATATTATTATTATCCGAGCTTTGATCACTAAATTTAATCTCTGAAGTAGTTTGATCTCTAAATCAAACTAATTTGGTCATTTCTTAGATGTTTTAAAATGAAAGGATAACATAAATATTTGTACTCCCTATTTAATTACTTTTGATCGATCTGCCACCATTTAAGTAACTATAAATTGTGATTTAAAACAAATAAGTGCATAGATTTTAGAATGTACCCGAGTATTAAAAGATCTAATGAGTATGACGAAATTGATATGGTGTAGTTTAATTAACAAGTAAAAATCTATATCTATACAACATACAAATCAACTAAAATGACTATATATTGAAATTCAACCTCTATCCTAGCCTATTATATTACTACGTATAGTATGTATGAAATAAAACTCCATAGTCAACTTACAGATTTTGCATATGTAAAGCCGTATATAACCTATATTCTCAAATCTACACAAGTTAAAACAGAACTTGCATACGTTGCTAATTTAAGAGCGACTCCAATGGGTGGAGTGCATTGCTGCAGACATGACAATGAAATGGACTGGGTCTAGAGCAAATGTCACGCCCCGGACCTATCCGGACACGTCAACAATCCGCCGTACAGTACGAATAGTCAACCGAAGTCCAACACATTCATACTATACAAGGCGTCTGGAATATCATTCACACATAGTATATCCATAAACAAACATAATGTAAAATATTCATTCAAAGCAGCGGAAACATTTAATATAAGTGTTCGTGCCACACTTTGGCAAACATGGGCATACAAGCCCCCAAATGATTATTCAAAAATATAATATCCATGAGCATTAATTTAAATGTTTTTAAAACAGGAACGGAAGAAGCACGAACCACGTCTCCCTCCTTTGATCTTCCCGAAGCAACGGGCGGTGGTAGCAACCTTCAAGTTCTACCTGAAACTGTGAGGTGGCCTCCCCCGTGAAGGGGAGGTCAGTACTTGGAAGCATTTGACAAGTACAATGACAACTATACTAAATATAATCAACGTTTCAATTTCCAAGACCCTCAACCTAGGGTGTTATGATATCGTGGTTAACTTTATTCGTTTAGTGTCAATTCATCATTTCTTATCACGGTCTAGAGCCCAGCTCAATAATCACCGTTACCTACTACGGTCTAGAGCCCAGCTCAATAATCACCGTCATCTACATCGGTCTAGAGCCCAGCTCAATAATCACCGATAACTACTACGGTCTAGAGCCCAGCTCAATAATCACCGTTATCTACATCGGTCTAGAGCCCAGCTCAATAATCACCGATAACTACTACGGTCTAGAGCCCAGCTCAATAATCACCGTTATCTACATCGGTCTAGAGCCCAGCTCAATAATCACCGATTCTTTACAATTCAATTTCTTAGGATCCATTCATCCATTATTCAACTACAATTCCAACTAATATTTCAATACTAGTTATTTATTCATTTCAATGTAATTCTTTATTCAATATGTAACTTGGCCTCAATATTAAAATATCACTTTTATTCCTTCATGGCTTCTTCTCATGAAATAAAAGTATACTTATCACAAATGGGATTTATGGTTGATTCTACTATCATGCCATCATATTCATAACATTTAGACATACACAATTTATTCAATAAATTTGTATATTATGCAAACTATACTTATAATCAATAGTAATTTCATTTAGGCATTATTAACCATTAATAATCCATGCAAATCACATTATATATTCATTTAGGAAGTCTTATGAAATTAACCCAAAGATTATAAGCAATATAGTCGGTCATCCTCACCTTAGTGAGCTTAAGCGTGTTCTACGCTCCCCGATTGAACTTTGACTAATTCCGGTGATCTTTGACCAACTCCGGCGAACTTTGACCAACTCCGGCGAAACTCCGGCGAAGCTCAAAGATACTCTAAATCAAGTTCCTAACAAGGTTTTAACATCATAAAACCTTAATCAATACATAACCCCTAAAAGGTTATTTTCCGGTGAACTTGTCGGTTTGGCTTCTAAATCCATTTTTGGACATAGAACCACCTTCCAACCCCTTGTTCCACATTTATCAACATGTAGAAAAATCCTAGGGTTCTTCATAATTTCTCAAATAATAATATACCCAAGAAAAATAGGAGAAAAGGTAAATGGAGTCATTACCTAGCCTTTCCTCAAGTTTTGTACACTTTTGGAGCTTAAACTTTTTCCTAGAGCTTCCTTCTTGTTGGAGCTTTCTTCAACAATGGAGAATAGGTTTGAGAGGATTCCTTGCTCTTGCTGGGTGGGTGCTGGCCGAAAATGAGGGGAGAGAGGGGGTTTGGGATTGTCTTTTGTCTCATTGATCAATGAGTAAGGATGAGACCCCACCCCATTTGTTTGATGCTTCTCATTTCACTTCACACACCTCACCTATGTCCTCCTATCACACCAGCCGACCAAGCATCATATTTGGGTGGCCAAATTCGTGGGTTGGCCCCCACCCATGTGGGAGGTCAACCCTTTTTGTCCAGAAGTGTACAATCGGTCCCGAAAGTTGTATTTTTCGGACTGTTTTAAATATATTTTATTTTATCGGGTCAAATAAAATATATTATGTGTTCTTAATCATTATAACCTTTATAATGAATATACATTCCCAAACTTTAATTTATAAGTCCCCGAAATTCAATTTCGGGCTTTTATCGGTTAAATTGTCAAAACCGATATTTGGGCTTCTTTTGACCGATCGGTCAACTCTGGACCTTTCCATGGTCCAAATGAAATAGCCACCACTATATAAATATTATCTTGACCAAGATAAATAAAATATATGGTTTCGGGAATTTCGGGCGGCCCCGCTCCCGGTGTGGGGCCCACGTGCGAATTTATTATTCACGCAAAAGAAGTATTAAAAATTCACCACTTCGTATTTTCATTAACCATTCCATAAGGTTCGATACATTATATTCTTAAAAGTAAATACATTTGGGGACGATGTTACAGCAAATACAGAAGGTCTATTTGAAGTGTACTCCAATGCAGCAAGTGTTAAAATTGACTAGCACTATGAAAATACGAAACTAAAATATGAGAACTTCATGAGAGAAGAAAATACTCTCTTGTATATTTTTATGAACCTCTCGTGAGGTATATATGCTGGAGTATACATGATAAGAAATAACAAGGTAACATGTATGGGTCATGCAAGACCACGTAACCCCCGTACCCATGCACTACAACTATGAAACATTACACATGTAATAGTGAAAGAAATAATTAAAGGGCATAAATATTAAATATTCCAATACTCCCCCTCAAGGTGGAGTGTGAAGGTCTCGAACACCCAACTTGCTCCGGAGAAATTGAAAACGGTCGGCACCGAGTGCTTTTGTGAATATGTCGGCAACTTGATTGGTTGTAGAAATAGATATGGGTTGAATCTCATCACTGGCAACTCTTTCTCGTACAAAATAACAGTCTATTTCAACATGTTTGGTACGCTCATGAAAAACTGGATTCATGGCAATGTGTCGAGCTGCTTGGTTATCACAATGTAGCGGTGTGGGACCACTTTGAGTGATCGTAAGGTCTCGAAGTAACCATTGTATCCATAAAATTTCACTAACAGTGACTGCCATGGCACGATATTCGGCTTCAGCGGAAGAGCGAGATACAACAGATTGTTTTTTTGTTCGCCAAGAAATGGGCGTGTTCCCAAGAGTGATAAAATATCCGGTGTTGGATCTACGAGTAAAAGGGCACCCTGCCCAATCAGCATCACAATAACCTTTTAAGGTAGTATCACTATCAGATGATAAGAAAATGCCCTGCCCAGGTGTCTGCTTCAGATAGCGAAGTATTCGGATGACTGCGTCAAGATGGGTCTGCCGAGGATTATTTAGGAACTGACTAAGTTGACTAACAGAGTAAACAATGTCTGGGCGGGTAACTGTGAGGTATAATAGTCTCCCAATAAGACGGCGATAGGAAGAGGCATCTACTGGTGGGCTATCATCGTCCGGCCGAAGTTTTAAATTTTGCTCCATGGGGAATGAACTAGGATGACCGCCCAGAATGCCACTTTCTTCTAGAATATCTAGAGTGTACTTGCGTTGGCTTAAAACAAAACCCTCTGGAGAGCGAGCAACTTCAATGCCAAGAAAATATTTCAATTTTCCCAAATCTTTAATGCTAAATTTTGCATCCAAATAATCCTTCACACTATCAATGTGGGCCATGGTATTTCCAGCCAGGAGAACATCATCAACATAGATAAGGGCAAAGTGATGATGGAACCCTGTTGGAAAATAAAAAGTGAGTGGTCCGCCTGACATTGGCGAAAGCCAACTCTGGTTAGGGCATGAGTAAATTTGTAATACCAATTACGAGATGCTTGTTTTAACCCATAAAGGGATTTCTGTAGTTTGCAAACACGAGTGTCACCAATTTTGGTAAATCCCTGGGGCATACGCATATAAACATCTTCTGATAGATCTCCATGAAGAAAAGCATTATTAACGTCCAACTGGTGCACTATCCAATTACGCTTGGCTGCAACTGCCAACATGCATCGTACTGTAACCAGTTTGGCAACTGGTGCAAATGTCTCATGAAAGTCAACACCCTCAACTTGTGTGTACCCTTTAGCCACCAACCTAGCTTTGTAGCGCTCCACATCTCCATTAGGCTTGTATTTAATTTTGTAAACCCATTTAGAATCAACAACCTTTTTTCCGGGTGGCAAATGGACCAAAGTCCAGGTGTTATTTTCTTCCAAGGCATTAACTTCCTTTTGCATGGCCTCTCGCCACAAAGGATCCTGTACAGCTTGATAAAAATATTTAGGCTCATCACGTGATGTGATGGCCGCCAAAAAAACTTTATGTGATTTAGAAAATTTATCATAATTAATAAAATTGGAAATAGGATATACCGTCGAATCAACTGAGTGGGCCGTGGATCGTGAATGATCAAGCGAAGGGGGCAAGTCAGTCTCATAATCAGCAAGATGTTTTGGGAGTTTCCGATTCCGTTCACTCTTCTTTGATTGAGAACTAGCAGGTGCAATGCATGGCTTGAGGATTGAAGAATTAATGGGGCCCATGGGAATGGTCTCCTTCCCAGAAGTGTCAGGGTGAATGGATGGCTGCCCACAATTGTTGGGCATAGGTGGGATAGATGCATGTGTCGGCAGCTTGTTTATTACTTCACATGTGGAGTCTTGGCATGCTGAGTCACGCACAAAAGTGGTAGGAGAAGGCTCCAGCTGTCCAAAAGACAGCGTCATGTGTCGTTGCTCAACGGGGGATGGTTGCTGTCCATAGATCTGGGGGATAAGAGGCTGATCGCAGGGTGAAGTGTCCATTTCAGAGGGTAGCAGGTGGCTTCCTTTTTCTATCGTGGGGCCGCGACTTAATTCTTCAGATGTGGTAGTCTGCTTCGGTCCAGAAGAACGAGATTTTTCCTGCTGTTTTTGATTTATTAATTGCTGGTCAACTTCCTCCCCAAATGAGGGCTGCCCACTACTAACAACCGGATGAAAAATGGGTCTGTAATGTGAGGTGTGGGGCTGCATCGCAGGAAGCTCACAACTAAGTACATTTCGGTAAACTTTTTCAACCACTGCTGGAAATTCAAGCTCTTCACCAAGATTTATTTTAAATGGGAATTTTTCTTCAAAAAAGGTCACATCCCGGGAGCTATAGACTACATGCCTTTTTAAGTCAAATACCTTATAAGCCTTTTGACCATATGGATAGCCAATAAAAATACAAGGACTCTCCCTCTCGCTGAATTTATCTTTTCTTTTATTATCGTGTGCATATACCAAACACCCAAAAACTCGCAAATGATCGTAACTAGGAATTTTTCCGAACAACATTTCAAACGGACTTTTGTTAAAAATGATGGGCGAGGGAAGCCTATTAATTATGTAAACAGCAGTTAAGATGCATTCCCCCCAAAAATCAATAGGCAACCCAGATTGAAAACGAAGAGCCCTAGCAATTTCCAAAATATGTCTATGCTTACGTTCAACAACTCCATTTTGTTGTGGTGTATCTGTACACGATGTCTCTAACAATATCCCATTTTGTCCATAATAATCATATAGATTATTAGTTTGAAACTCCAAACCATTATCAGCCCGTATGCGCTTCACCTTTTGGTCAAATTGAGTGTGAACCATGTTACAAAATTGAATTAAAAATTGGGAAACTTCGGACTTATTTTTCATTAAATAAACCCACACACCTCTAGTGAAGTCGTCAATGATAGATAAAAAGTACCGTGCACCAGAGATTGAATCACATCTATATCCTCCCCAAATGTCACAATGTATCAGCTCAAAGCAGCGAGTAGTCTTAATGGTACTTGTAGGAAATGGAAGTCTGGTTTGCTTAGCTCGGATGCATGAATCACAAAATTTGCTGCTTTCCCGAAAGCCTTTGAGAGAACTAATATGACGCAACTTCCCATCAGATGCATGTCCCAACCGTTGATGCCAAATGTCAGAATTAACTGAGACTGACATTGCCACCCTCTCGTCCCTTTGAAAATCAAGGTAGGAAAGACCATCACGAAATCGACCCACCCCAATCAGTTTCTTCGAGGGTAAATCCTGTAAAACACATAAATCTTGAAAAAATGTAAGTGTACAATTTAAATCCTTTGTGAGGCGACTAGCTGAAAGTAAATTGCACTGAAATTTTGGGATATATAAAACGCGGTGGAGATAGAGCCCATTTGGTAAATACAAGCTACCGACGGAATGGACTGGAATCAATTCACCGTTAGGAATTCTGACTGGTTGTTGAGAGGAAGAACTTGAGACATTAACCAAATTAGTATCGTCACAAGTGATGTGTTCGCTAGCTCCAGAGTCGATTATCCAAGAGCGGGAATATGGCAACAAATCTGCCATGTTTTAACCAAGAGAAAGAAAAAGTTTTTTTTTGTTGTAATAAAGATAAAAGGCTAAGAATTTTGTTTCCAGGATTTCGGCTCTGATACCATGTTAAAATTGACTAGCACTATGAAAATACGAAACTAAAATATGAGAACTTCATGAGAGAAGAAAATACTCTCTTGTATATTTTTATGAACCTCTCGTGAGGTATATATGCTGGAGTATACATGATAAGAAATAACAAGGTAACATGTATGGGTCATGCAAGACCACGTAACCCCCGTACCCATGCACTACAACTATGAAACATTACACATGTAATAGTGAAAGAAATAATTAAGGGGCATAAATATTAAATATTCCAATAGCAAGGGAACAACAAAAAAATAAATGAAAAAATGTGACAACTCTGGTACCTTTCTAAAATATGGGGTACCGTACCTATCATTCATTTGATTGGACCACATCACTTTATCATTTTTAATTTAGATTTAAATAATTCAACTGCTACATTCTCATTGGTCCATGTGGACAAAGGTATGGTACCTTATGGGTACCATAGAATCTACCATGAAAAAAATCAATGAAAGAAGAAAGAAAAGCTACATACACTACTTTCCTTGCTTAGCTGGACTGTCAGAGGGTGGCACCGAGGGTGTATTTGTAGACTTTGTGTTGGACCTCCTCCCTTGCCAAATCAGATTTTGAAGGTCCATTGCCATTTATATTGGAGAGTACATTTCACAACAAAATGTGCATTTGCTGACATGGAACTCTAATACACCCTTGCATCGGAGATGCCCTAAGAATTGATGATCAGAAAAAAGGTACACCACATCATACACGTGTCACAATAAAAGAAAAGAACTGGAAAATATCTTTAAAGTTCAATATAAAAAACTAGCCAAGGACGTGTCTACATTAAGTGGTGGAGCACGTACAGTCAGGGGCGGAGCCAGCACACTGGGCCGGACTGGGCCGATACAAAGAATATTTTTGATTTTTTTTTTGTCCGGAATTTTTTACACTAAAAATAAAGGCACTTTTTAAATTTGGGCTGGGCCAGGGCCAAGGCTAGCCCACCCCTATCTCTGCCCCTGCGTACAATAACACACATTTGTATTCATAATTGGGTTAATAATATACTCCGTATGCACCAAAACATGGTCAATAAAAGTCAAGGTCAAGCACTTTCTCATGTTTAGTTATTCTTAAAAAAACTCGGTGTTTTGTCATGGCCACTTGTATGTAGCCGTGTAACGAGTTACCGAGCGTGAAGGGCTAAAGATATTGATATGCAACGATGACAGTACCACGAGTTCATCCACAATAAATGTTGTATATCCAGAAGTTTTTCAGAACGTTTAATATCTTTTAATCATTTTTGAGCATGTTTAATGTTTTCTACGTTGCGAAGTGTTAGTTTTATGAAATGAAACAACTTATATTTGTTTTATTTTGTTATGTATTATACATGCATTTAATTGTTAGTTGAATATTACTCTGTAATCACTCTACATAATTGCAATACTTTATGGAGGAGGCATTTTCCCGCCCAACATTTCTATCGCTCGATCTACTACATCAGATCTACGGCTCAAGTCAATTCACCGATTCCTTCCTCCGCACCTTTCATTTATCAGATCTCCGCTTCTCATCCCTCTATTCCCTCTATCAGAAATATCCAACTTGAATCTTCTTTCTCCGTTTGGATTTCAATCACCTAAAAATGTCACTCGCCTTCTCTGTTGAGTTCATTTAGTCGCCTCCATTAGAGTTCAATTTACGATAGATTCATCGTTCTCTCTGATTAGTAATCTTACTTCGCACTCAACCTATCTTGAAACCACCGAATCTCAGATGCCTTCGTCGGAGCTATGACTCCATACATATTTCCCTTCCATGTGAAACAAAACTGCGATTCCAAACAAATTCGATTTTTCTTCGAATATTATGAAATAGACAAGGCAATTTGTCTTTTTCCTTCCTCTTCTCAATTTCAAGATGTAGAAGTACAATCGTTGGTTGCTAGGTTCAGTGTTGCGAAAGGGATGATGGACAGACTTAATTTAGGACTCAACTAAATTCCCATAGTCAGCTTCATCGAGATAATTGATTCAATTTTATTTTATTGGTATACATTTATTGAGGAGTGTTAAAATTTAGTGTTTTATTGGTCTCACTTATTTTATTTTTTTTCATGTGTTTGTTCAAAATCTCACATTTTTTATTTCTTAACATTCGTGGTATTTCTCTATGCATAACTTACTTGCTTTCTTCTCATTTTGATGTTGTACTCTGTATTCAAGTAAATAAATGAATAATTGGAATCTGAAATCTTCCATTTGCCTATTGTACTTGGTTAGTTAAACTTTTTGCACTGTTACATCTTTGCCATTGCATTCGGAGGGGAGCGGATGAAAAAATTCTAGCTTCTTCATTTTGTCAAAGCAGAAAAATAAATAAAAGTGACTATTTATAATCTGAAAATCTGAAATTATATCTGCATGTATATAAAAATCTAGCTTCTTCATTTTGTATAAAAGTCATTTTTAGAATGAACCAGGCATATTGACAGACTTATATTTAAGTTGATTTTCTGCAATAGACTCCTGTTTAAACTCCGATTTTGGAGCTAAGAAAATGTTCTTCCTTTTGAATAGATACTCTTTAAGCACTAATACTTACTTTTTTTTTATCTCAAGGTGACAAACCGTTAGTGAAACGCCTTGGGTGTTGGCCACTGTTGGGTGCTGCCTTATCAATGCCATGCTGTTAAGAAACTCTCCCGATACATGTCTTTTACATTTAGGATGATTTAATTTGTGTCTTACTATACTCTAGAGTTTTAAAATATATTTGTTAGTTGCTATACATAGCTCATGACAAGAGTTCATGTTTGCAAGTTTTTACAGAAGAATCACGTACACCACTAAAAGGCAGAGATAGAGGGACATTGCTCTTATTACCTCTGGTGTAGCAGCAAATTTATTTAAGCTATTTAGTTTTCTTTATATTTTGCATGAATTGAATAAGATTGTGATTATTATATTGTTAAAGCTTTTGCAAAGATTATACTCCCTTCGTCCCCCAATTAAGTTCTTGGTTTGACTTTACACATATTAAGAAAATAAATTTGACTTTACTGTGAAGTGCACTGTTTAGCACTGGTACTGTTTGAATATTGTTTGACATTGTTTAAACACTATTTGATACTGTTTTGATATACATAATTTGCCAAATAAGGAAAGTATTGAAGTTAATTTAGGGACTGCCCAAAAAAGAAAGTGAGAACTTCATTGGGGGACGGAGGGAGTAGGTTAGTTGCAATTTCAGAGAGTGTTTATGTGAAAACATGGATAGACTCTAACTGGTTGTGGCTTCTATGGTAGAAGAGGATATCTAAACCAAGGATAAAGAAGTACAATGCGAGAAAAATGTTTAGAAGTGTCGCCTGGCACGTAAAATGTGTCTCCCTGAATTTTAAACTCACAAAGCTTAAAGCATTAAAATTTGGTTAGCTTCAAATTTGTGCACCCTTACTCTTGATCCCTTCAGTTTTTTTTTTTTTCCTTTTTTTTGAATGAAATGTAAGTATATGTTAGAGACCCTTCATTTTTTTCTTTAGTTAACATGAGGGTGTTGTAGTAGACGTGAAATGTTGACTTTGATGTGTCTAATTCATGTCATCAGGGACATTAACACTTCGGATGCCAACTTGGAGCCACGGGTGGATATGGTTCCTTTTAGAAGAATTAGATTCTCGAAAGAATATTCTCTCTAAAGGATCAAACAAGGAAGACGATATTGTACAAAGACGTTTGTGATTATTTTAGTGAGTCTTTTGTAGGAGGTGAAGAGAAGTTTATTTGTTTATTACAAATACATCATGTACTTCAAATAGCCAGGCTAATATCATTGAATGAGAATACAAGTATTAAAAAACTTCAATGTCGTAAGTCGATATTGACCAAAGAGGTCTGAGATGACATTCTATATAAACTTAGTCACATTTGGTCAATAGCTACATAAAAGGATGAGTCATTTATCAAATTTCATTTCTGAACTAAAAAAGATACCACGCATTATTCATTGGGTGTGCTTATGAAATTTGCAGTGAGGAAAGGCTTAGCCCCACAAAAAGTTGTTATTTTGGCAATACTACGTGATTTTACTCTGTTATACTCCCTCCGGTTTTTAATAAACTTCACACTTTCCTTTTTGGGACGGTCTAAAATAAACTTCACACTTCTTTATTTCCTTTTTTGGCAAAGAAATCTACATCAAAACAGTGTCAAACAGTGCCAAACAGTGTCTCAACAGTGCCAAACAGTGTTTCTACAGTGCGAAACAGTGTCAAACAGTGCCTCAACAGTGTACTCTACAGTAAAGTCAAATTTCTTTCCTTATTTTGTGTGAAGTCAAACTGTGAAGATTAAAAAAAACCGGAGGTAGTACTTAATAGTGTAATTAACAGAATGCTCAAAATAAATTATTATGTTTGGCAATAATGTGACACCAACCAAGAAAATAGTTTTATGTAGCTTTATCACAATTTATAGCATCTAACATTATTTAAGATGTTTTAAAAAAGTCTGTATTTAATGCATAGATATTAAGGGCCTGTTTACTAACAGAAATATTTTCCAGTTTTCCAGAAAACTGGAAAACTGGAAAACAGAAAACAGGAAACGTGTTTACCAAAGAAATTCCTGGAAAACTGGAGAAAGGAAAAAAGAAAAATGCGTTTACCAAATCGTTTTCCAAAACGGAAAAAATGAAACATGTCTCTCTTTTCCTTAAAGATTTGGAGAAGTGACTTTTACTAGTTCTCTAAATTTGGAAAACGCAGATGCTACAGTGCTTTTGCAATGAATTTGCATACTTACACCTAGTGGTGGGTCCGGTCCCGCTCCGATGTCGATTCCATTCCGGTACTTCCATCCTCGTACCTTACCCCTTACCCCTACCCTACCCACCCAACCCCCACCCCGCGTACCCATTTTTCCCTATAATGACCTTACCCCACCCCCCACCACATGCCCCGACTTCGGCCCCACCCCGATCCACCCTACCTTACCGCCACCCCTACCACCTCGACCCCACCTCGATCCACCCTACCCTACCGCCACCCCCCTACCACCTCGACCCCACCCTGACCCACCCTACCCTA